AAAAATTAGAGGGGCTGGTTAGTAATAATTTGTAGGTGATGATGTCTATCAGAAGTTGTCCCACAGTAAGCAGCCAATGTGGTCTTTAAAATTCCAAAACTTTTCAACATATTTCCTTATTCTTTAAAACTTATGTTGCATGTAGCAAAACAAATTGTGCATGACTTTGAAATTTTAATGAAGTAGAAAGTGCCATCAGGTTGATAGGGGTTTTTTAAATAATGTACATCTCCCACCTTGCCTTAGACCGTTTAAATGTAATCCTCTTGAAAAATGAAATTATTAAAACAATAAAACAAAAATAAATGCGTGAAGAGAGGGGCTTATTAATGGGTATTTATTTCATTCATGTGGATTTTTTTTTTGTTTGAAGAAATACTCCATTTATTGTTTACTTAAATGCTGCAGAAAAATATGCTGTTTGAAATTCAGGAGTGGATCAGTTAGAAGGGCTTTGATGGAAAACTGAGACTATGTGATATTTGGTGTTGCCATGGGAAACTGCTTTGCGAGAACATTTGCAGAGCAGATGGACCAAGATAAATAAAACAGATACAGGTATTGAATAGAGCTTGTTTAATGCTCTGTGAAAAAATAGGAAAGCAGGAACTTAAATCTATATAACATAGTCCTTTCATTTGCCCTTTTTTAATGGGTATGCTGTTTGAGATGACTAGTTCCACAGTGAAAGTTTCCTTTAAATTTTGTTTCCAAGAAATCAAAGAAAATGCCAGGTTTGTCTGCCTCATCTTCTGTAGAATGCAAAATCCATAGCATCGTTACTTTATGCCATCATCTACTGCCATTTTAGTCTAGTCTCTGAAGTTACACTTCAGTATACAAACACTATGAAATGAAAAGTCTTTGTATTTAAGATGTTATAATTTTGTTAGCTTCACATGCTCTTAGCTACTGGCAGCTCTTTTATAACCTTATAAACCAGCTTTTATCCTTGATTTAAGAAATAAAAAAAGATAACTCTCATACTCATAGTTTCAAGAGCTAGAATGTCTTTGTAATCATGTTTGATTCCACACAAGTTTGTTTCCATAGCAACATGAACACAAAAGATGCCCATGTGACTGTCTACATAGAGCATGCCATTGTATGAGTACCTGTGTGCAGAAATAGACTGTGTTTCTGTTTAACTTGTGTTCTTTGTTTTGCCTCGCAACAAATAAAACAGGCACATGCTGTTTACTTTTTCTCTAAGGAAATAAGTCAGTAGAAAATATAAAATATATTTCGTAGTCCTATTTTTTCAACAGCTCAAATTTAAACTTGCAGACAGAAAAAGTTTGTGGAAAAATAAAAATTTTATCTGATCCCTTGAAGATGTGATTTCAACTGCTAAAGGATTTTTTTTCCTCAAAGTAATATGTTGATTATAAAATTTCTTCAGGTTTTCTCCAGTCTAATTGTGCCTCTGTTATTCATGACTTATAAAACTTATTCCACAGGTTGATGTCTCCACATGAGTGAAACAGTTTTTTGGGAGATGCTGCCATAAATCTATTAATGCTTACAGAAGTGTTGGTGTTTTCATTCAGTATAAAATGCCATGAAATTCTGTTCCACTGAACACCATGCAGGTGACTCACATTTTTAGGGTGCATGTTAGCCAACTATTTTGAGTGGTCAGAGCAAAGTTTGTTTGCTTTTCAGTATATTTTTCCATTATGGAAGGAAATACATTTGATGCTTTTGTTATTAATCCATTTTAAATATCAGGTGTGAATACCTAACTAAAGTTCTGTGTTTATTTATGTTCTGCTTTCTCATGAGAGACTAGGAACATTAGCAGCAGGAATTTTAGGGGAAAATTTTTATGTTTCACAATGACAGAATCACAGAATTGTTGGGGTTGAAAGAGACCTCCAGAGATATCTGGTCCAACCCCCATTACACGGCAGAGTCAGCTAGAGCAGGTTACACAGGAACACATCCATCTGGGTTTTGAATATCTGCAGAGAGAGAGACACACAATTAATTGGATCAGAGTATCTGAATTTCTCCAGTTGCTTTTAATCTATGGTTTTAAAATCTTGCCATCAATATCCAGGAGTCCAAAAGACATGTTGGCATTCATTAGCATCAGGGTTACAATATATATTTCTAGCTTTCAGTTACAACCTTTTAAAGTCTTTTACACTAGCTAAAGCACAATACAGTTGACTGTGCATTTTTTTCCCCCCATGCATTGTGGAGAAGAGATTTCATGGGTGATTGATTTAACCTCCTTTCAATTTATTTTAAGCAGAGACCAGTTAAATAAATAACTTTTCAGAATAACAGAATTGTTGTGGTTGGAAGGTACCTCTGGAAACTGGCGCCCTTTGGTCAGAGCAGGGTCACGGGGTCACCTAGCACACATTGCTCAGGACTATGCCCAGCGGGATTTAGAGTATCTGCAAGGATGGAGATGCATCTTGGGCAACCTGTGCCATTGGTTGACAACCCCCATAGAAAAAAAAAATCCTGGTGTTTAAATGGGATTTCTTGTGTTTCATTTGTGCCTGATGCCTCTTGTCCTTTCACTTGATACCACTGAGAAGTTCTGCCTTCCTTATTCCACTCCTGATCAGGTGTCTATAAGCATAGGAGAGACCCTATTGAGCCTTCTCTTCTCAAGGCCCCCACCCCTCACAGCCTCTCCTCATGCAAAAAGTGCTCCAGTCCTTTACTTACCTCCATAAACTTCAGCTGGCCTTGCTGCAGTAACTCTTTGCCTCTCTTGGGCCCAGTTCTGGCCCACCCACCAGAGCATTCAGGATGGCTCACAGTGCTGAGCAGAGAGGAGGGATGACCTCCCTCAGTATGCTGGTGATGCCCTTCCTTGTGCAGCGAGGGTTGCTGTGGAACTCCTTTGCTGCAAGGACACACTGCTGGCTCATGGCCAGCTTGTTATCCCTTGGGTCCTTTTCTGCCAACATGCATATGATTATTCCTGCCAAGTGCAGCATTTCGCCTTTTCCCTGTATTGAACTTCATGAGGTTACTGTTGGCCAATTTCTCAGCTTGTCAAGGTTTTTCTGAATGCCAGGACAGCTTTCTGATGTGTCAACTACTCTTAGTTTTGCAGTATCTATGCCTTCTGTCTCAACTTGTGAATTATTGATGATTTGCTGAGCAGTATTGGCTTTTGTATTGACACTTGGTGTGTGCCTTTGATGACTAGCCTCTAGTGAGCTTGGTGCTGCTGATCCACAACCTCTATTGGCCAGCAGTTCAGTCACTTTTCTGTTTGCCTTACTCCCCATTCATCTATTTAGTGTTTCATCAGTTTTTCAGGGCGAAGACAATGCAAGGCTGTGACAGAAACATTATTAAAGTCAAGATAAGCAATGTTCAGTGTTCTGTCCTTGTCCACTGGGGTCAGCCTGCTCATTGTGCAAGGCTATCAGGTTGGTCAGGCACAATTTCCCCTCCATGTATTCATGCTTACCATGTCCAAATATGTTCTATTCCCTCCTCTATTTGGCAGTGACTTTCAGGTTTATTATCTCTATTCCTTTCCTAGGCATCAATGTGAGACTGGGACTGAATTTCTTGAAAGTAGAGGTGATATTTATTCTCTTCCAGTCCTCAGAGTTTCCTCCTCTCACCTGATCTCTGTTACCCTTTTTGATCTTTCAGTGATTGAGTGCTCTCACAATGACATCAGCCAATCTTCAATATGTGCAGTGCATCTCATTATGGCCCATGGATCTTTGTGTTTGTTTAAATGCTTCCTAACTTGTCTCTCCTCCACTGTGAGAAAATCTGCCTTGCTTCAGGCTTTCCAGTGGTTTTCAGGGACCTGGGATATCTGAGGGATGGTTTTATCTGCAAAGAGGCAGATAAAGAGGGTATTCAGTGTATTGGCCTTCTTCCTATCTTCTGTGACAGGTCTCCATCAGGACATGTAATTTCATTCATATCTTGCGGCAGAGAGACCATTGTCCATGGCCTTCCTTATGCTGCACAGCACCCGTAGAAACTGTTCCTTATGCTGCACAGCACTCATAGAAACTGTTCATGTTTATATGAAGTATCTACCCATGTCTGTGATCTCCATAAAGTTGGAATTCTCCAATTGCATGCAAACCTCTTAATTCTTCCTGTTTGCTCTGCTGTGTGCCTTAGCAAGCAGGCTATTTGGAGAGGCACAAAAGCATGCTTTTTTCCCAGAAAAGATGAAATACCTTTACCATAATTCTGCCTGGAAGGCATTTCCCTATCTGCATGTGCACAACTGGGGTAGGACCCCTACAGCCCTGTTTCTTTTACTTACAAATTTCTTCTTGTTGACATTAACCTGTCTGTACTCTTTGCTTGCCAGCCTGGTCCTTTACTTCCTCTCTTGATTGCTGGTCATGCTCTCCTGTTATTCCTAGTTTGAATCCTTATTACTGGATTGGCCAGCCTGTTGGCAAAATGTTTTTCTCCATTTATGAGGGCAGCATCTCTGCTAAACCATCCTCTGTCCTTGTAGAACATCCTGTGATAATTTAAAATCTAAAACCCTGTAGCCCACACCAACTGGACAAGTTCTTATGGGATCTGTTACTTCCTTTTTTATACTTTCACACCTTTCTGGAGAACTAATTAAACATTTTGGCTTTTTTTTTGGTTTTATTAAGCTTTGTTTATTTTTTAATGTTATCCTGCCAATGCCATATGGGTTAGCTGGCTATGTGAAGGCTTTTTGTACCAGTGTGATTAATAGAGGGAAGATCATGTGTGGTTTCCCTGTGCTCAGGAAGGTCAGGGAGTAATCTCAAATCAGTTTGAAAGTCTACAGAAAGATGAATGGCTATCAGTATCTGGTACAGGATTTGATGAAAATTTAAGACTACCTTTCAAGTCCACAATTTCTACTTTAGGTTATGCCTTTTGGAAGACTCCAGCCTAAAAAGTTTTCCTAAACCTTGCTTCATAAGCTATTTTAAGGCAATGAAATAGATGCTATTTTAACATTGCAACTGGTTTCACGTTTGTTTTTTTTCTCTTTCTTCTAGGAAATGAACCCAGGAAGTAAAGTGAAAGGTCATGTGAAGCTCTGTCATAGCAGAAATTTTCTAAAAGATTGCTTTATCTGTAAGTTCTTCTTTTTGTTGTTAAATATTAAGCTATATCATACTGTGGTGGGGAAAAAAAGACTTTATTTTGGCATTTTGACTTGCAGCTTAGTTGTGAAGAAAACCTTTCCAAGTGCATTATGTAGCAACATGTGCTATTATTCACTTTCTGTATTTTAGTAAAGCGCAAACAAACATTTTTCCTCTAAGTAAATAACTAAATCTCACGTTTTCCCTGAAACCTGTGAAGGTTTTGAATCCAACAAGCAAGATTTTCATGCTGTTTCATTACAGATTATGCATCCACTGTGATGCATTCTAAACTGCAATTACTTGTTTTTCATAAATTATTTTAAAAGTGAAGGGTAAAAATTATTCAAACTTGTATGAGAGTGAAATTACCACTAAAAGCTCTTTGCAAGGATTTCATGTGCGGGTGCTTGCTGTGACTGAGACATCTTTGGGATTCAGAGTTATTGAATTATATCATAGTGCCCTTTACAATTGTGTCACTTGTGGCAAAAAATTTTCTTCAAGCTAAAATAAACTAGTTTAATTTTGTATATATTTCACAATAAACTCCGCCTACGAATTTAAACTGTGGCTTCCGTCTTGGTTCTAATTGTCTGCATCAAAATACTTAAATTGGGAGATATGAACTTGCTCTCCTAGCAAAATTGCTAGAAAAATATTAAAAGATCCATTTTACACAAGGAACCAAAACCATTAGGCTTGATTTTGGCAGATTCACGTGGGTGGTGGCAGAGCTTAGAAAAGGATACAGAAGTTCTTAGTCCCTGTCAAAAGATGTAATTTGAAAATATGTAAATATGCCAAAAAAGTATACCCTGAAGGAGATTGTAGCTTGCAATCTCTCAATTTCAGCAATATGTTAATTTTTTTTCTTTTGTATGTAATTATAGTTCAACTACGCATCACCTAGATATCAAGTTCTTGAAAATTATAAGGGGGAAAGCACTACTGAAAAATGTTTCAAAACTGATAGTAGGTGTTTAATCCTTTAAAAGTAATAATTTCAGAATTTTTTTGTTATCTAGTACTCCTTTTTAAAGTAGCAGCAATGCCTGTACAGGGGCAGCAGAGGTAATTTAATTTGACATGAAATCTTCAACTAATAAAAACTTGCAAACACTAGCCCTCCATGTTTCAAGCTCTTTATGAAGTTTCAGAAAACCTGCTGATATCTATTTGATTTTATTTAAAATGTGCTTCTTTAATCTCAGTATTTTTTTACTACTCTGATGTAACTTGAGACAACCATGAAGTACCAATACAAGTAAATCTGTTAGAAATTAAAATCTAAATTCTGCACTTCAAGTTGTGAAGTAGAGACTGAATGTTATTGTCTTCATTATATAAATATTCATACAGTACTGGTGCAACTTCAGCAATTGTCCTGTGTTATCCTAAGTGCATTAAAAGTCCATCATTGAGGCATTTATTTTGGTTTTGTCAAAGAATCTGTATGGGTATTTCAGGATAATTGAAGGAGACTTTTACAATTAGTCAAGGAAGAGAGAAGAAAAAGTGCTCCTCTGATGAAGCTGTCTTAATAACTGAGTTAGTCAGATTTTCAGTATTATTTGAGAGGTTTAATTACTTAGCAGTAGTCAGATGGATTTCCCATATCATAACAGTAGCCTCAAAAGAACACAAATGATAAGAGATAAGATGGAGGTAGAATAGGCTAATTTATTTCAATTTGCTCTTCTCTTTCAATTAATTGCTTTTGTTATTTTCTTCATATCTCCCTGAGAAATGTTAGTATTTTATTTGTGCGCACATGTATATGTATGCATGTGGGTGGGTGTGTATCCATTAGAGATATTTATATTCAGTGAAGATAAGACAACAGTTGGGACAAAAGTACAGAAGTGACTTGGAAAAATGGTAGGTGAGAACATGGAGAGAAGTCCCTGACAGGATGCAAATGCTGAGTGTTGTATTGCACACTGAGCAATAAAGTAAATATTACAGCCTCCCAGACAACAAATGTATTGTTTGGAATCCTGCAAACACGCTGATTTTAGTAGTGTGATTGCATTTGAGGACAAAATAGCAGATGATTTTTTTCCTGATCTAAAATATTTGAAACATTGTCTATTACTGTATATAGACACTTCTGAAGTTTGGTTGAAGAGCTGGCAATATCCAATAATATTTCTTACTGTAGACTGCAATTGATTTTGTGATTCACATACTCAACAATTGTATTTGTATAAATAGGAAAAAAAAACCCAACAACATAAGGAGGCAAATGATCTTGTTATTATAATTATTTTATGAGTATAGGTTGCTACATGACAGAAATCTAGCATTTTTAACCGTTACATAGTTCCAACTTATTTCTCTCTTTGCTAGAAATAGTTCCATACTGCTAATTTTTATATTGACTAGAAGCCTTTCTGTTATACATGTAATGAACCTGCCAGTGTTCTGAATTAATTAATTAGTATTGTACGACTGGCTGTCATGATACACAGACAAGCAACAGCATAACTCATTGAGATTCGTAGATTGTGGCAGCAATTAATTACGATCAGTTTCATAGTTGTTATATTTTTCTTCCCAAAGGAGTTTCCATGTATTATTTCTATTAATATTAGCTAACAAATCATAGCACCATAAAATAGTTTTTATAAAGACCTGTCTAACAAATCATAGCACCATAAAATAGTTTATGGTCTCTTACAACCCAAAATGGGTTGGAAGAGACCATAAAGGTCATCTCATTCCAGCTCCCCTGCTATGGGCAGTGACAGCTTCCACTGGACCAGGTTTCTGAGAGCCCCATCCAAACTGGGCTTGAACACCTCCAGGGATAGGGCGTCCACAGATTCTCTGTGCAACCTGTTCCAGTGCCTTCCTAGCTCAAAATCAAGAATTTCTTCCTAACATCCAATCTAAATTTTCCCTCTTTTAGTTTGAAACTCTTCCCGCTTGTCTGATTTTCCACTTGTGTAAAAAGTTACTCTCCCTCTCTTTAAGTACTGAAAGGCCAAAAGTCAGAAAATAAGAATCTTTTTCTACCTTCCCCCCTCCCAAAATTGGATTGTTCTGTGTTCAGATTGAGATCATCACTATCATAATAATATTTCAGTCCTATTATAAAAGATGAAAATCATACCCATCATAATATGTACTGTGTAAAATAAGGAGCAGCATAAAGTATACTGCTATATGTTTTTAGAAGAACCAGAAGTTCTAAATATGAACCAGAAGTTTTTAATATGATAGCCATTCACCTTGACAGAAATTTAAGAGCAGAAATGTTCTGTTTACACAATGAATTATTCCCATTTAGGAAAGGCATGTTTGTTGATGCACAGCAACAAGTGTTCCTCATTTTCTTTGAGTAATTCCCTTTCTGGATCTTTGAGAATTTAGCTTTTTCTCCTATTCTTCTCATGCCCTCTGGGAAAAAAATTTTGGAATACCTTTGCTTGATTCACAGCTACAGGCTTGTGTCAATTATTTGGAGATCCTTGTGAGAGTCCAGTGCAAGTACAGCAAAAGGAAAGACTAACGGAGCTAAAAAATTAAAAAGACACTACCAAAATCAGTAGTAAGAATTGAAGTACTGTCTATGGAAACTGGTGAGCACTAACACAGACTTTTTTTGCTGTAGAAAATTCCAATACCCTAAGAGCACATTAATTTTCAAGGAGTGTCATGCACAGCTCTAATTAAGGTTTCACAGATCACCAGGGAGTGAATCTTCCACTGCTGTCACCATGCCTGCCTCTTGTCTTTCTGAAATGAACTTAGATTTGAAATTTAATATCAGGTGTTACCTGGCATACATGTTTTCATGTCAGCTTCTGTCACTATATTCAGGGAAATACAAGTTTTAATTGTAGCATTTCTGCATACTGTAAGCATCTTCCTGATCATAAGTTTGTACAAACCTAAATTGCAGAGTAAGGAGAATAGAACTATTGCAAAGGTCTCTCATGTTTTGCTTCATTACTTATTATGTAGATTTTTTTTTTAATAAGGGGTATACTGAGGAATATAAATAGATATATCTGAAGTGATGACAACAAGAAATACAACAGCTGTCCCTGTTGTTGCTTGTTAATTTGCTGTGCTGAGGTGTAATTTCATGCTTTGTTAAAATCAGACCTATTAACTATGATTTGCTGAAGGTGAAATAAAGGGATAGGCTCCATGAAATTTCTTTGTTTTAAGAAATATGTGGTACCTAATATGCACTGGAAGTAGTGGTCTGGGAAAAGTGTCCTTTAAGTTAAATATGTTGACACAGTAAAGAGCATCGATTAAACTAAACCAAAATATTTTATTCTTTACAGTCAGTATGCAGTTAATATTTTCTCCAGGCATAAACTTCCTAAATCTCAGATTACAATGCATGTGTAGATATCAAGATGGTAATGTAGATATCAACAGGTGTGCAGCATTCATAGTCTACCAGTCATGGCTTCATTAGCTGCTGAACTTAAGGAAAGCTGGAGAATTCTGTAAGATGCCTTAAAAATTAAGTTTGATGGCTCCTTGTGACCTAAGCAGAGCTAAAGTTGAAAAGAGCTGATGGGAAAAAAAATATACAAATAAAAGAAAAATATATTGGAAAGAATTTTATCAACAGGTGTGCAGCATTCATAGTCTACCAGTCATGGCTTCATTAGCTGCTGAACTTAAGGAAAGCTGGAGAATTCTGTAAGATGCCTTAAAAATTAAGTTTGATGGCTCCTTGTGACCTAAGCAGAGCTAAAGTTGAAAAGAGCTGATGGGGGAAAAAAAGATACAAATAAAAGAAAAAAATATTGGAAAGAATTTTCAGGAATGGAAGGTAAGATACTTTGTTTAAATTAATAAAAAAATTGAGGTCCAGTGCGAGAGAAGAAAGAAAATGATACAAGCAGTGAGTACCTCTGAAAAATTGATTGGTTTAAAGTTTTTCAAATTCAGTAGAAGATACTTTTTAGTTTATTTTCAGTGTTGTGCAAATATACATTAATTCTATATATCTTTATC